TGTTGAGATTTTTTGAGTGCATTTCCCGATGTTTAGGAGGCTTGTGTAAAATGTCAATACAAATACTGCATAAAACGTATTTATTTGTAGTGTATTATCGTATTTAGGATTTTCACGTAATATGTAATAAAAATAGGTTTATTTTTAATTTGTTTTTCGCCTGGTTAACCCTCGGAAGTCTGTAGGTATATCATCAGATGCTCCACACTTTACAAGGCTCGCACGCACTTTACAGAAGGCTTTAAACTTGGGATTTATTAATCAATTTTTTAAACATAATATTTTAGACGGTTACAAAACAGTTTTACTTATAAATAAGTTGTTGGTTACATACAAAAGCTTAGTCTATTATAACCTACTTTTAATTTTTGTCGTGACGAAAGGAAAATGTGGTATGTACTCGTATATTTAGTCTGGATGACAATGCTATTATATTCCATCTTGCAAATAATGTACGAGTAATAAAGAACCCAGAAGCTCGATACAGGAACTCTTAGTTGACTGTTAATAAAAGTTAGAGCATATGACTTGCTTCGAGGAGATGGGCTTGGTGCTAAAGGCCAGGCTATGTACCACTGTATAGCCAGATATTTGCATAGGTAGATAGTTTTAGTAAACTATTTTTTTTAGCGTGTTTATATTAAAAACCAAGTTATTGCATATATTATTTTTTTTAAGGGAAGAGGAAGGGTCATGTACTCCTTTAAACTTGCTCACTCAGTGAAAAGCAACAAAGGAATTACTTAACACCGGTTTGCTGTGAGGCAGTGTTATCACTCTGGTGGCTGGCTCTCCCATGATAAAAGGATGATAAGCTCCGCTCTAAATTCCTCATCCTTTCCTCTCTCAATTATTCCTTCAAACCTTCAAGAAAAGAGCTTACTCTTTTCTAAAAGGCCGGCAACGCGTTTGTGACTCCTGAGCTGCAGACGTTCATGGGCAGCGATGGTCACTTTCCATCAGATGACCCGTCTAACGCCAATTAGTTAAATGTTTGGTACTCATTTTTATTCCTTATTTCAAACAATCTTCAAACAGCAAAATGTATCCCAAGCTCAGGATAGATTACTTAAGAAACATTAGAAACAATAGTTTGAAAGACCATTTTAAATAAACTCAAATCTCTGGTTCATTAAAAAGGCCCCGGCCCAGTTGAGTATCCTCCAATCATTTGAATTAATTGCGCTTCTTATCTAGCTCTTCCTCTATCGGTTATTTACAACACATCTCTTACTATCAGCACTTTGCCAGGTCTATGGAAAAAGGCTAAGGTCGTACCCATTCATAAATCCAACGTCAACGATCAGACCCATATCTGTTTTATCCACCCCAGCTAAAGTGTTTGAATCACTAAAATATACATGCGGAGAGGCCTATGTCCAGCAGTGGACTATTAAAGGCTGTTAATGATGATGAATGATTGTTTGTAGGTGCTTACTTAGAAGTAATTGTAACACTTTGCCACTTCATACTCATTGCAAAATGTCTTTCGACCGACTGGACCGAGCTCGGAGGAGTGCGAGGACACACCCAACAGCCGTTGCTCGCCGTGGGACATCACCGTGGACGGTCCGACTCTTAACACTTGAACCTAACATTTGATAACGTGTAAAGACCTGGCGATTAAAATACCAGTAATACAGTCCACTGCCATTTTATTTACGTCCCCTTGACCCTTAACAACCAATGTATGTAGTTGTTGGTGAGTCAATTGAATAAATCAAATATTTATAGTGAAAGCGATTTTACTTATCGTTAAATATCTTTAAACGAATTAGGTATCTATACTCGTAGATTATCTGCAAAAATGATGACAGTTTCCATTAACAAATGCTTACTCAGAAGAAAGTTCTTAATACGTGACTTGCATCGACAAGACTGTGTCTGAGAAGTATCGCCAAGAAAATAGACTCTTTACTACTTAGAGTTTCATATGTGATATGACAAATACTATGAAGTTATAATATCACAGAACTTACTAACTAGAGTACGTTACTAGGGAATAATAGCATTGGGACGATAGGCAGGGGAAACCCTCAGCTTCCCCGGGATAGGGCCTTATTGAGCGCGGCGTCCATCTTGACCTGACATAACATGGTCCGGGTCCCCCTCGAAGTAGGGCCTGAGTCCGACCGTCAGGGTGGTATTTAGTGGAAACACTGCATTTTCCTGGCTCCTATATCCTAATGGAGCCGGAGATCCAAATTGATTTTCCACCCCGTAAACAAAAAAAAAGGGAATAATAGCATAGGTATTGAGTGCAGATACCCTTAAGGTGGGTAATTTCCTTTTCAAAAATTATACCTGAAACAATTTACTTAAATTATAAAATTAAAGAGTTTGTTTGTTTATACGCGCTAATCTCAAGAATTAAAGAATAGTGGAAAGCTAACCAAAAACCATCAACAAATATTAGCTTTGAAATTTTTCTAGTTGTAATGTGCAATCTTCTAGCTAGGAGTAACATTCCGAGACGTGTTTTACCTCTAAATGTAGCATCTTCAGAAATAAATCGAAAACAAACGCCAATCGGTACATGTTATTGTGATGTCTTACATATATTGAAACTAAAAACGTACCGCTGTGTCATCTACCTAAGACACGCGGAACTAAGGAATAACTAATAATCCTTTACCACGAGGCAAAGAGTTCTCACGCTGATTAGCATATACACAACTTCTCAACCTCAACCGTTAGGCCGCGGTTCGCCTAGTCGGAGGATCTTCCCTTTGTGTTGGAGGGATATAGCACCTATTCCTCTACATAATGTAGTACATACACCTCTGTCTACCTTTTCGTGGATAAAAGATGTGAGTGTATAGTATATATTACCCCTATTCGTTCCCTTACTCTTCTCCTTTGTCTGGTCACAAAATGAAAACATTCCCACGAAGATTTGGCGTCAGACGTTCGAACATAAAAGAAAGTATCTAAAATATTTTGCAATTGATCTCAAATAAAATTGGAATTAAGGGCAAATATGATGATGATGATGGTTTTAATGATTAAGTCAGTTCAAATCTTAAAAAGATGGCTCGCAATGATACCCATACTTAATGAAAATCAATCTTTTCTCACTGTTATGCGCTAAATTCCCATGACTTTAATAACATGAGCGATACATTCGAAAGTAACCGGTAATTGTTGTTTATGAAGTTGGTAATTCATTTTTATAGACTTTCTATTTTTTGTAATACTATTCATAATCGATGGAGATTTTGTTAATAACATGCTTGTCAAACGCTCTAACCATTGCTAACACTCCACAATCCATACAAGTATACAATATCCTTTTCCTCCATCGGTTTCCCTTCCTGTCGTACTTTCTCTTTTGAAATACTTCCAAATATCATATTATTAAGTCTTGAACTACCAATTACTTGAAGAAGTCAAATTAAATTTGCGTGTTTAAAACGCTTCAGCCTATCCCTACGGCAAACAAGCGTGACTGCTTTTATGTATGTGAATGCGGCAATTCACTTCACTTACGTTTAACTGTGTCAGGAAGGAATTTCTAACTTCTTTTTACTCGTAATCTGAATTCAATATGAATCTACTTATCAACATTTGCTAGAATTTGTTGTCTTACAATGTCTTCTTATTCAAAAATGCTTGTTCAGTACCTAGACTCATGATCATCAGCTTAATCGCCTATTGCAGTTTTGCAATCTGTGCTTGATTATTTGGGAAGATTATATTATTGATTTCTAAAACTCTTAACTCGCAGTCTTACATCGAAGTATATGTATTTGTCCTAGTTTCTCATCCAATATGGGATGTACATATGGGTGACTGCCTTCGGCTTCTTTAAACTATTACAGTTTTAGTCTCATTTCGTATCCTAGACTTGCTGTGTTATTAACCATAGCTCTATCAACGTCTCTTTTTACTTTCTGCTTTAGTCCTTTCCTTACCCCTGCTCTTCTTCTCATTTCGTAATGTAATAAATGGCTATGGTCCAAAATATATTTGGGAAAACGTCAGCATGATTATGATGTACTCACATAATATTAAGAATATTAAGACTTGCAATATTCTTTCAGGAAACTTAAATAACTTAGACATTACTTAACTCAACTACATTTTGTTTGAAAGTTTCTTTTAATTTTAATGTGGGACATTGAGAGTAGATCTTTGTTTAAAACTTTACAATAAAAGACTCAGGTCGGCTGTCGAGTTCTCAGTTTTAAAGTGTTAATAAATCAATTGTTTGTTGCTATAACTTTTACTGTGAGAATGATAGCCAATAAAACGTTAGTCATTAAAATCAATTTACTGAAGTTTTAATTATTTTTTTGTATTCGTGCATTTGATGATTATAAAACGAAATCCAGCATAGCCGGTTTAACAAGTAAAGCACCATAGACTCTCAGACTGCCTTTGGTATTTAAAAAATAATTGCATTTAACTGACACTACACTTTCACTCTTCAAGTTGATGAACCTACTTTATTTTGACGTCATTTGTATAAACATCAGTTGGAATAGTCAAATTAATTTGGAAGGAAAATAAAAATTATTAAATATTTTTTAAAACAATCTTTATTATCTCGATTCGAGGAGCCATCGAAATATAAATTATGTTCAACACACATACAGACTGTTAACATTCTTCGCATTAAATACAATTGATTTGTAATAAATATGACTTAATACTCCCACACACATACAACACAAATGACTAAGAAAAACAAAATGAAATCATAAAAAAAATATAAAAATAAATAAAATATCTTTGGAACTGAAAACTTAAAATAATAAAATGTACTATTATATCCACATCTATGTAAAGTATGAGAGATAAATATATACTTAAATTTATATTACGTATATACTTATAATAAAACTCATTATCTCAGTCGATAAACCTTAAATAAATAAAAATATATACATTCTATTATAAAACTTAGCAGATGTATCGAACGGTGGTATATATATACAAGAAAGAAATACAGATTAATAAGTTAATTTACCTAGAATAAATAAATAAATAATTTAACTTCACGCTTGTTTGACGTGGGCAACGTACGCCAAATCTTGCGCATCCTGGGATCTTCCCCAGCCACCACCGCTTTCCCAACCGTGGTGTTCTTCGTGGACGGGTTCAGACCATCCGCTACTCTTCTTAGATTCGAGAAGTTTCTTAATGGCACCGAAAGCGGCGGCAATGAAGGCAATTTTACCTAGGATGTAAGCCTTGAAGACTGCGAAAGCGATGATACCAAGGAACAGAGGGACGAGGGCAGCGAGTTTTAGCTTGATCAGGGCGAGGATGGGCAAGAGTTTCTTCAGCTTCTTCTTCTTCTTGCCACGGCCTGAAAGAAGATAGTAAATGTAAGAATGAGATAACTTTGGTAAGAGGACTTCGCTTGTACCGTGATCTGAGCGCCCTATTGCTGCCACAACCCAGTCAATTCGTATAAGCTTATATTCCTTTCTGAAATGTCTTTCTCGATCAAAATACTCTTAATTAAAACAATATAATACTTATAAGTTATGAGGTCAGAGATGTATAAATTTCCCCATCATCAACCCAAAGGACAAAACCAAAAGGCACGAACATAAACTTTAAATACTATATAATATTTTGCAGTCTTCTTTAAAGTAAATATTTTACTTGTATTATAAATAAATTAGCTATGCTCTGATAAAATAAGACTAAGACGTAAGTAATTTAAATAAAACAGATATATAAAGACAAGCTTTCAAACTATCTAAAGTATGAACGTTAAGAATCTTAATCCCGTTAACTTTTCACAAGTCTCTAATACCAAAACAAATATCAAACAAAGAAACTTGAACGATGCGTTTTATCTCACATCTAGCGACCTCAAGAATGTTGTCAGCAAAAAGCCTTTCCCACAGACATTATAACTGACAGAGTTCTTTGTGACCGTAGATATAACAATTAAAAGAAAGCTATGTCAACTTTTGGCATTTTTAAGTATAATAAAAATGTAATATCTTTATGAAAGTGTGTTCATCTATGTCTACTTATAAAAGGTCAGGTGTTAGATTAATTTAATAAATTTGAGTATTAAAAATATTTCGAGTTCGTCTAGTTCTCTTATGGAACCATTTGCTTTGTGTATCTACCCTTATAAAACTAATTTAAACCTGTACATTTCTAATATTTTAATAACATTCGTTCTTTGTATATCAGTCAATTGAGATACTTTTTTCTTTAAGTCAAAGAACACTCCATGAAAGGTCTGTGCTATGAGATTAATTAAAATAATTGAGTTAGAGGGACGCTACGTATGAACACTTAACTAAAATATGAAGCTACATTTAAAACTAATATATGTTAATTAATATTCAACAGATTCAACACATTTCACCTAATTTACTTGCCCATGAATCAGAAACTGAACTTGCACGCTTATAAAGTCCGTAGAAACTGGTCTATCAAGATTTGTTATGTGACAGCATAGTGAAAACATAACCAATCAGATAATATGTTACATCAGCACTAATAACATACTTTATAATGACTTAAAGCTGGATATACGAGTACATAAAACCAGTCATCAAAGTTGAAACTGGAGATTTAGTTTAAGAAATCAATATACGTTTGAAGATTCACTGAAAGTGTATAACTAAGTAAAAGCGTTACTGGGTCAAGTGGGTGTGCCTGCAAGTTATCATCTTATATAAGCCATCCAAATCTGAATGAGTACTCAACATAAACTGGAAATCTTAAGTGAAAGTTTTGCAGCCGACAAAAAGATTATAAAAATTACCAGCAATTTTGAATACGGATATACGTTTTTTTTTCACAATACTAAAACAGTGAAATATATGAAAGATCAAATATATTATTAGTTTTAAAATATAGATCATAGAGTTTTTTGGTTGAACCTGAAATCAACAGTCCTGCGGCTTTAAATAAGTTTGATGAAACTATTTTACAGACGTAAGAAATGAATATTGAACACGATAATTGTTAACATCAAGTTACCATTAAACTACTAACAAAACTGATTAATTTAATAAAATCTTGTAGTTCGCACGCTCAGTATTGTAAAGTTTTAAAATAAATAGTTTCCAATCCAACTCAATGGGCTTCCTGTTTATTTTCAAGAGAAAAGAAAGTAAAGTGCACTCAAGTACTGCATGTATCCATTTGAGTTAAATACTTGTTTTAAATACCTGTCTTCAGTTAACAAACGAAAGGAATGTAATGACCCGAGAAAATGCATTTAAAGTACCGTGCCAAATTACAGGTTAACTAAACTTTGGGATTTTATCTTGATTTGTGTGAAAAAAACCAACATTTGGTTGATATACAATTTGTTGTGTGTGTCTAATAGCGTAACTAATCTTTTTATTGTGAGCATGAGAAATTGATCTATCAATAAAAGCTATTAAATTATAGTTTTATTTAAATTGGCCTTTTATTGTTTCTCTTTTTTAATTCAACGAAAATCTATCATTCTTTATTATTTTTTGTTTTTTGTTGCATAATTAATTAGTTTCAATAATTGCATTTGTACATAATTTTGTTAATTATTTCAAAAAACGGTTTTATTCATTTTGCTTGTCATTTTGACTTTTCTTTTTATCTAATCACTATTTCGATATGTGTATGTGAAAATAAAAAGAAAATTTAATTTAACATACCTTCCTCTTCAACAGAGTTGTCGTCTTCGAAGGCTTTAGGCATTCTGAGTTGTAGCACATGACCATCTAGGAAGTCCACAACGTTTTCCAGAATTCTTTCTTCAACTTTCATTTCCCTAGCTTTGGGTTCCTCAGGGAGGGGTTCATAGCTGCGTGCTGATCTAGTATTTCCAGAGTTCTTCAAGCTAACCCCATCAATGATTTCTAGATTTGATGATGAGGCCAATTTGTCTGTGAATTTCATTGCTTTTTCCTGCAAACGAAAAGAGGACGGGCTTAGTTTATTATCATAGTTTGTTAATTGCCGTACAAATTAGATTTTTTTGTAATTTAAAAATGAATTTTAAGTTAAAAATGTTATGAAGACTATTCAGATAAAAGAGTTGATGATGTGCCAAATTATTTGATTTATTAAGGTTTTGAAAAATTAAATTCAGATCGGTTTTTTTATGAAATTTGAAATTTAGGTCACTGCTAATGGCTCTTTGCTATTTGTGTTCCTCATGTATTTTTTTACAGTGAATACACTAAAACCGTTTTTTATTATTCAAAGTCCTCAATTTGATCAAAACTTAACACGATCACCCCTATGTGTTTTAATTTAACACAAAGCACTATCACTGCACTGCACTTCACAACACACCTTGAGACACAACGAGGTATCTGAATCCAGACAATCCTTCAAGGCTGAGATGAATCTTTCCGCAACACCATCCTCCTTCGCCACGGGCAAAGCCCCGGCAACTGCCAGAGCACACAATAGCACTACAGCTTTCATCTTCCACGATGGCTAAACTCAAATTGTTGATGTTCAGAGTATGGCCGTGAGTTTTATTTTGTGTCCCCCCTCTCCCCATATTTCCATATGTCACGGATTGAGTTCGGTGTGAGTGTGAGGCCTATGACGAAATACAAATACGTACGCGCAGCCCCTTTATATGTTGAACATAATATTCGTCAGGTTTTTAAATAAATGTGTGTTATAGTGACATGTTATTAGGTTTAGTGTACGTAACTAGATATTTTTTGTACTGCCGGTTTTACTTTTCTTTTTAATAGGCACTTGTTGCTGAGTGAAGATTTAAATTGCTTTTTTAGAGGATACAGTTTAAATTTCAACTATACTTAAAATACTTGACGATAATAAAAAAATTCAAATGTAATGATTTTTTATGACTTTAGCTAACTTTCATTGAGAGTATTCTTTTATTTCTATTGTTGATATTATTGTTAAAAAGTAGTATTTTTCTTTTTATTGGTTTTCTTGATTAAAATATAATCACGTTAGACTTTTGACACCGTAACGGAAATCCTTGTAAAATAATTACTGACTTCGCAATACTTGGAATACCGCAGTGATTTCCGGTTTCGTCCGAGGGTTTCGCAAAATCGCTTTCTAAAACCCATCAATACACTTATATCATCGTCTGAATTTCTATATTTTTAACCATTTGTATTCTGAAGTAAATTGTTTAATAGTCCATTTATAGGCGCAGTTGTTGCACCTAGCGAAAGTTTAACGTACTTAAAGACAAAAGCGTTATATCTATTTAGAATATAAAGTGTAAAATTATGTTACTTACTCAGAGCTAGTGCCAACCTTTTGTTAATATTTGTAATACCTTAAATGTTATTAAAGAGGTTGAACTTCGATATATTGCGTAACTCGAACTTTCTTTGATTCATGAATACTTGCGTCATTGGATTTTTTTTAATTCATTACAAATCTTGCTTTCATTTTTCCCATACCATGTTCAGACTTGTTTAAGGAAACTACATTTTTTTTATTTTTGAAAAATATTATTAAGATAATTACGTACTTTGCGCATTAAAATCTGAATTTTATTTAATAGTAACACATATCAAGAAAAAAATTTAGTTGCTAATTTAATAGTTTAATAAATAATAGTAGACATAATAAATTAACCTTTTTTTAGTATTGTTTATAGCCCTGTTTGTTTTCGAGATAAAGGTATCTTCCTTTATTTAAAGTTAAAAATCTTAATAGTTAATTAGGACTATGTGGAATTGTTATAAACATATTTATTGACGGGCTTGTTGGTCGTGGGTTCGATTCCCACTCAGGATAAATAATTGTGTGATGAGCATGATGATTTATTCTGTATCTGGGTGTAATTTATCTATGATATGTATGTATTTAGAAATATATAGGTATGTTTATCAGCAGTCTGGTTACCAAAACACAGGCTCTGCCTAGTTTGGATTCAGACGGCCGTGCGTGAGACGTGTGAAGTTATTATTATTATTATTTTGTTCATCTTTGTGTTCATCAATACAAAGGAACTTTCTTCTAATTCAGATTGGTACTATAATTATATGATGAACAACCTGCACACGACGTAATTGAACAATTATCCATCTATAGCGGTCTCATAAGATTCCATTGACAAGACTGTTGAATCGCATTTAAATCGGAGAGAGTCCACTGTCATGACATCTTCATTTTGACCTTTATTTTGAACCTTATTTTAAGTATGCTAAATTTCAAGTTGGTTTCTAGTATATCTTTAGTATTTAGTCATTGTTTAAGTACAGTGTTGGCTCTGAGGACGAATTAGTTGAGTCTGGGCGTCCACTGAATGTGTAAACGTGAAGGGAAATTTCTCTGTGTAGAATGTTGGTGATGTTAATGATTTATGAGGAAACCTTGTCTAGTTGGTATTCTAAATAAAGTAAAGTATGGTACTAGGTACTAATGATGTAGAAAAGCATCTTAATTCATTTTCTATACCCGGTGAATGATGAAGAAATTTTACAATTGTTTTTTTTTTTATAAATTTCTTTTTTTTCTTTGTCCATTACACTTCTTTAGAGACCTGTTTCGTACTGGGGAAGACTATTAAATATGAAAGACTCTCTTTCTCGCTATGTTTCTTAGCTGCTAATATAAAGTGTATTATCATTTTTGATAGTAGTATGCTTCTCCTAATTATATAATATATGTTAAAAAAAACTCATTTCTAAGGAGAGGCCTATGTCCAGCAGCACTATTAAAGGCTGTTGATGATGATGATGATTAAGTTTAAAATTGGTGTAAACGTCATAGTTGAATATATATATATATACACACTAAGATTTACTCACATAGAAAGAAAGAAAGCTAGATATTGGTAACAAGCACATACACATCACATCACATCAACAGTCTTTAATAGTCCACCGCTGGACATACGTCTTCTTAGAAAGAAGGTTTTAGGACACAGTCACCTTATTTTTTGAAGTGATGACAGCCAAAGAGGCAGTGATAACAAAAGTGAAATAGCATTCTCTGGTCCAAGCAAAGCACCGAAGAATATCTATGAACCATCTCTGACCTCCATATACTCTGGCCTATCACCGCTTTAACAACAATATACCTATCAATAAATCTGCAAGTCATTCAATACACACTGTCAGGATGACTAAGATATTCGATACAGGTGCTTAACTAACCTGTCGCCACTTACTCGTGGTGTTAACTTTCAAAATACTATGTTGCTTTTAACTATGACGGTTGCGGTAAAGTGTCGTCTAATAATAGAATATCCCACTACGTATTGTGAACGGTGACAAAAGTAAGGACAAGGCGGAATGCTGAGTCATCGGAAAAAGTTAAAATTCAATTTCTAAATAGTTTGTTGTATAAAGGTGTGTTCTATCATAATAGTTTAAGCTGTAGATACTTACAATAATTATTTATATCTTGATTGTGTAATATGTTTCTATTTTTATACTGTTCAATTGTATTTGTAGCAGATTAATATCTAGGTTAAAAGGAAGAATCTAGACTACATGTAAATAAACGCACGAAGATACACACACCGCGCACATTTACATAAACACGGAAGAATGCACGCACACACGCAGAGTTTTCAATTCATTTCACTCTTCAGCTGGTGAGGAACATCGCTTTTATTTGTTTTCAACAATTCAGATAAGACAAATATTACGAATAACTTAAAGTAATGGAATATTTTCTAAGTTTTTAGTATAAAATATTTAATATTTAAATTTAATGTATATATTAAATATTTTATATGTTAAGTTATATGCACGGGTAACCTGTCATCTATTTTAATGCATATGTTCGGCATTTCTATGCCAGTATCTTGAGTATTATTATTATTAAAAAATACTATTTTGCGTCGTTCACAGTTTTTTTTTTTTCTATTTTCTTTCTTGAATATATCCTGTGTTCAGGGGTCTTTACAAACATACATGACACAAAGAACACCCAGACTCAGAACAACAACTTATGGATCACTCAAAGTGTTTATTTATTTTAAGGAACACAAACAATGTATTGTACAATAGCGTCTTAAGAACTAATATGCATAATGTCTTAATCTAGTACATACAAAAATAATATGTGTCCACAGCATCTACCATTTTATGTTAGTATGTGTGAGACTGTGTTGTCCCATGTGGGGATCGGACCCACGACACTCAGCGTAGTAGTAAGCGGCGTGGCGACTGCTACAACCACTATGTCATACGTGCAGTCAGTTCCTTTTTTTAAACAGATTTAAACTAATACCAATGTGTTATGAATTCCCTATGTAAGTATTCCAAAGTAAGTGTTTTCTCAGCGATATTAAGAACTCTTTGTGGTGTTATCTGATCAGTGTTCAGCTGAATCAAGTCCGGATGTCAGTCGTTTGTAATCGAGGAATCTATATTTGTATCAAAATTAACCTAAATCCACACTAATATTACAAAGCAGAAGAGTTAGTTTTTTTGATTGGTTAAACATGCTAACCTCACGAACTACTGGTTCAAATAGAAAAAAATTTTTAGAGTTGGATAGTCCACTTATCGAGGAAGGCTATATACAATCAGGGTACGACCAATTGGAGCTGAGTATCACTGAAAAATGTGGCAAAAACGTGGTGAAACGAGTTTTTTTATGAGGGTGCCATGAGTTTGTTTGCCCTTTCTTCTCATAAGGTTCAACCCCTTGGAAACGGTCGGTTGTAGATCGGCATATCATAGATTTTGTATGGGTTTGGTTTTTGTTAATTTATTTGACAAAACAGAGATTGTTGCTTTTGTGTGTATTGATCTATGGCTTTAGAGTAACATTAAAAGACGATTTCAAACAATTTTAATTTTTTCATGAAATAAAGAGAGTTTGAGTTTGAAAAGAAAATATAAAAACGATGTACTTCCTCACCACCTGACACATTCATACCCCAATATTGAATACACAATGACATGTTTATTATATGTATGTGTAAAAACATTTTTAGCCAGAATATTTACGTATTTAGAAATTGTCTACAAAGTGTCTTTAAGCATATATGTTCCATTAAAAAAATGTATACCTCATCATCATTTGAAGGTATCATAAAAGCCTTACAGCGCACCGTCATGGAAGCGAAAAGTAAATTCATTTTTTTACTTTCATAGTGCTTGTGGGAACTAAATTTATGTATATTAGCAAAACTTTAATAAAAACATTCCGTTTTTAGGCGATGGGTTCCGTAGTATATTTTTCACTATTTATTAAATTGATTTCTATTAAAAGGCTTCGCAATATATGCCACAAAGATAGTTTTTAATCAAACTGATCTAAAAAGTTCAGTGTGTAAATTAGTATGTTTGGTAATCCTCCATGCTGCAACGGCAAAACGGATTGGGGTGAAATTTATAAAACAGATAGATTATATTATATAAATACACAAAAATGGTACACTAAAAGCGAAAGCTAGATTTATATAAAACATCAAACGTATATTATACATTAATGTACATAATTTAAAATAATGAAATGTTTTA